GTATTATCATCAAGGTCGAGGCCGTTTCTATTGGCATAATCAGTCGCCGCACGTAAACCATAACCCTTACCGCGTCCATGCCTAATAACCATCTGTGCGTGCTCTCCGAGAAAAACAGAAGTTGTTTCCGTATGCAAATGTCGTAGCACACAAACCTCCTGAACTCTATTGCAACTTCTCCAGCCAAGCCTCAACTGCAGAAGGGTGCGGCGAATCCTCTGGGCCCGACACAGCCCGAGCCCAAAAGTCCGTCTGCTTCATACCCGGCTCTGGACCCTGTTTGGGATCGGAGTCCTCTTCAGAAGAACTTACAGCGAGGGAGCATGCTTCAAAGTCGGAGAAGGAGCTAAAAGACGCAAGTGCGGACGCGGACTACGAGTGCGCCGACGACACGTCCGGGTTACTCAGCGCCCTGAAACCCGCCACCACGTCCTTGTCGACGTTGACGAGCCAGTTCTGCTCAAACTGCTGCTGCCCGCCGGCCCTCTCCGCCAGGCCCTGCAGGGTGCTGTCGACGAACTGGTGCGCGTTGATGGTGTACACCGGGTCCTTGGCCGATAATTCCCGCTCGACCACGTCTAAGGGTACCTCGTACTCGTTATGCTCCGGCGCCAAAAACCTAACCAGCGAGTCGGCATCGACGGACTCCGTCCCAAACCGCAGTTCTGTCCGCACGCTCGTCCACATCGACAGGAAGTCCTGCAGCTTCTCCAGAACAAGCTGCTGCATCGGGCCAGGCAGCTCGCACAGGCGCGTGAGAGCGAGGAGCGAGAGTTTCGCCCGGTCGACATCGGCGAGGGAGTCGAAGCTGGCGAACCACTCCGACAGCAGCCACTCCCAGGGTTGGGGGAACTCGACATCGTTGTTCATAGCGGCGAGCCTCTCGACGAACGAGGCCGGGTCGGCAAGGGCTAGTCGTGACAGGATGGTGAAGTAGCCCTTTTCGACGACGTTGCTGATCCGCCGCTTGACCTTGTTCGGGCCGACCGTTTGGTTGGATCGGAAGGCATTGTAAAGGTCCGACAGGATCTTACGGATCAAGTGCATCTCGACCATGTCGTTCATGACGACAGCGACACCCTGTGCTCCGCCCAAGGCTTCCGCCTGCCGGATAAGGAGCTCTATAGCCCCGAAGCCATCCTGCTGGTGCTCCCGGCTCTTGGAGGCGAGAGTAACTGCCAGCTCTCTCAAGGCGGGTAGTCGGAGCTCGTCGTTCAGCACGTCCTGCGGCGAGAGAATGATATAGTTCCTGGTAACCTCCAGACACTCCCTGGCGACATTGGTATCGTACTGGAGAAGCGGGAGGGCCATTGGCAGCAGTGACCTGAGCTCGTCCAACAAGGGCGGACTGCTCATCTGCAAGACCATCTTCCACAGTTCGATAGATTCCTCCAACAGATGAAGGTGCAGAGCGGATTCGGGATTCAGTGCCTCTCGCAAGAGAGGTATGATCAAAGGCTGAAACTTCTGCGAGTTCTCCTTCATGGAACCGACGATGGCGGTCGTGATAGCCAGCACGGCTTGCTTCAACATGTAATCATCCCCCTCGGCAAGACTCCACATGTCAGGAATAAGGGACATTATCCAATCCCCGAACTGCGACAGATGCTTGTCCATGCGGGTCACGACCATACGCATAGTCTCCAGAATCGCAAGCTTCGTCTCCTCAACGGACGCCTCCTTGAGTAGGTTGACTAGGTTGGTAAACATGTCCGAGGCAAACGGGAGGAAGGCATCTCCGTCGAACTCGAAGTCTTCGGCAACCATCTTAAACTGCCGAGCAGCGGTTATGCGAACCACATCGTCATTGCTGGGGTCGGCTTGGTTCATGAACCGGCGGAATATTTCGTAGACGACAGGCCTGTTGGCGGTGTCGATTTTGATTGTGACCCATTGGCTAAGTAAAATGGCAATGCGGCGCCGGAGAAGTTTTGCGTATCGGTCCTCGATCTGTGCGTCCTGGACTAGAGTGGTCGTGAGGAATGTGTTAAAGTCGAAGAGCTGATGGATGGTCGGGGCCGAACACCCCATTGCTGTGTAGACGGCCTCCTTCTCCACAATGCTCGCTGTCGGCCCCGTGGCGGTCTTGAAGTAGTCAAGGAGGGGTTGCGCCAGTACTTCCTTGTAGTGAATGATAAGATCGAGGAAAAGGCGCTCAGCGCACGGCCGCACTTCCCATTCCCAGGCCTCTCCTTGGTCACGTTCTTGTACCTCCCATTCCTCGGGATTCTCTTCCCATGCTTCGAGATCAGACTGCCTGAACATGAACAGCTTTGTGATGGTGACATTAACGATCTGGGCCACGAAGTCGTTCGTCAGCAGATTGTTTCTCAGAAGCTCACGGGCCTGTTGCTCTTCCGCCTTCGCTTCTGGGCTCTTGTATTTGAAGGACTGTGCTGGCTGGAACACGATTCCCACGCAGCTCCTCAGCAGCAATAACCCCTTCAACGCAAGCCTCTCCTGTAGAGGGCCATCCATCTTTGACTTTGGGCCGTCAACGCCGTGCGTAGTGGTCTGTTTGATGCCGCCCGACTTCTCAAAGACGTCGGCAAAGTTCGCAACCAGGCTCCAGTAGGCACGGGCAAGAGGCAGGGAATTGGGCAAAAGGGCGAAGCTCCCTGGATGCGTATCGGCCATGTTGATATGCAACTTGGTGAACTGGAGGAGATGTTTTCCAACAATCTCCTGGTAAGGGAAAGGGATAGGGGAATCGCCCCTCACATACACCATAAACTGGTCAAACTGTGTTTGCGAGATGCCCCAAAACTGTTGCACCATGTTGTCCTTGTGCGGGCTGTCGAATCCTGCATTGAGAAGCCGGCGTAAAATTCTCAGAGCGGTCAAGCTGTCCTGCATGGCTAGATCCGCATCGTCCTCGTCGCCGCGGCCTTTCGTCAAGAACTCGACCCAGTATGCTGTCTTTTCGATGTATATCTCCCCTAGCAGCTGAACGAGTTCGGGGGTTACAGACTTGAGCGACGTCTGTGACCGCCGAAGCCGAGCCGTGCTCAGCTCCTTGACGACGTGAAGCAGGACGATCAAGGCACCGAGAAGCTGCGGCTGAATACCAGGACTAGTGCTCCGTAGTATTTGTACTATGTCCGCCACGGCGTTGGGCCAGTTCTGTGGGTAGTCGATCCGAACGACCTTGGCAATGAGAAGAGCATTGTGGAGGATAAACGGGGGATGCTCTTCTTCAACGGAGCCCTGGAAGATCTTGGAACGTATAAGCTCCTTCTCTTGCGTTGATATCGCATTCTTCGAGCCCGACTGCCTCCAATACTTGTCGATGCCGTTCTTGAGTTGAAGGATGGCGAGGTATCGGATGTCTTGGGGTATGGATTTGTCGAGAAAGATGGTCTGTAGGTGACACCACGTCAGAGATGGAAGAATGGGCAGAGGGCGGGGCCTCACTCACCTGAAGAGAAGAGAGGTAACCCGGGTGGGAGTACCATTCCTGAAGCTGTTGGCCAGCGGCCTGTCTCTCGGCGTTGTTGGTGGACGATTGAGCTGCCTGCAGCACTCGTACCAGTTCTTGGACAGTCAAGGGGGCAGCCTCTCCGGGCACCTCAACGGCGAAATTCATCGCTGCTGTCACCAAGAAGGCTTCCCAAAAGATGATCTGGATGAAAGACTGTTCGAAAAAGCTGTGTCAAGACGAATCCAAGTGTCGCGATAGCTTCAGTTGTTTTGTGTGGTTGGTGTCCAAAGCTCTCTGTTTGGTTTAGCGTTTGGAGTCGGAGGGGTACTATGGGTGTGCAAGCGGAGGCGTGTGTTTAGTATTATCAGAGATAAACTTCTTGACCCATATTTCCCCGCCACGCCAATGGAATGAAGATCCGAATTGCCTCCACCAACATCCGAACATCCACCTCCAAAGCAAACAGCAACCTCAAACGGCTCGGCCCTCTGCCAGACCATATCCTCTGCTCTTGCACCATGCCTAACGGTAACTTTTATTCCGTGCATTTTACCCGCTTCATCCTGCGCTTAAACTTTACATGATTCTCTGTGAAAAGGCTGTATCCACGATTACAGCAAGCAGCTGCAACTTGATTCCCCCTCCCCGTCCACGAGCTGGTCCGCGGTGAAAGCACAAGTTGCAGGACGCTTCTCCTGTACAGGGAGCAGTAGCTTTGGCCTCTGCAGGAGTTGATGCAACCTAGTTCTCTCCGTCTGTCGTGGACAGACGGGAGTGATTCGTTACCAGGTACGTCCGCGTTGCTGCGAACGCTGTGGAAGGGGTCCCGGCATGAAGTGCTGTCAAACAGAGGATCACTCCGGGAAGCAGTACCTGGTTCGATGACCTCCGCTGTGTTAGGCTTGTGGCAATATTCTGTCACTATGGGGTTGAGTTTGCATTTCGTTGCAGATGCGACAGCTCACCGGGCTTAATGAAGGCAGGCAAGCCCTTGTAATCGGTATACCTCATGAAAGGTTGGATTGTTTTATGCCAGGTCACCTTGTGTTCTACCAAGTTCTGCGATGCTCCGTACAGCGTCCTGCCTCGTTCCAGCTCCCGTGCCTGGTCGTCACACCGTGTGCATATCATTTGAGCAGCTACCCCATACGCAGCGAAGTACAAGATGACTTCCACAAAGCTTTTGGAGGTTTGTTTTTCACATACGCCGGAGCCTGAGCTGTCGGCGCATTACAGAGGCCGGCACCTTCTCCCGACCGCAGAGGTATACGGCGTGCATGAAAAGGAAATGGGATGGACCCCCAAATCGATGTGGGGAAGTGGATACGCAAGACTTGTTGAGAGGCAGATAACAGCGACGGAACCCCAGGTAATCAGGCCCTCGCGGCTACAGAATAGGGTAGTCTATTGAGGTGTTTGAGCGTGACTGGCTGCTTGGCATTGCTCCATCCAATGCTCCACCCAATGTCATGAGCTCCAGTGTCATCGTTTGTCTCCCTTGGGCGGCCCGGACGGCAGTATACTAAGTTGACAGGGCAAAAAGAGCCGGGAGGAGCCCAAAAAAAAGAACATCAAGGTTTGGGCCTGCCGTGAATCGAACACGGGCCGCTTCGGATATGCAAGTGTAAGAAGAACACCACAACGAAGAATTCTACCACTGAACCACAAACCCTTGGCTGATTGGATGACGGACATGACTCCTTGAGGAACTAAGTACGCGGCAGGCAGCCGCAAGAGCTCCTGGGATTGTTCAAGTGGAAGGAGCAGTGTTGGCATGGCAGAGAACTGGTAATGAGAAATTGTGCAGGAGCATGGGGCCGCGACCAAGAGGAAGGAGCGCTGATAAGACATAACTGGCTCATCAAGATTCGGTGTCCCTCAATAGCGATACCATAGACTCCGTGACGGTCATCTTGAGGAAGAAGTAGAGAAGTCCTATATTCGAGAATCCATATACGCAGGTATAACCCGCTCATAGCAGTTCTATATACAGCAATGCCGTATAGCAATGCTTCGTTCACGGCTCATCGGCCCATCAATGGCAATCATCCACGTCACCATACACGCTCGCACACAACGCACGCCATCTTCCACCTCCACCAAGGCCACCGGACAACACCCCGTGTGTACTGGGAGAACCGTCCCTATGTATTCTCACCGGCATCACCATCATCCACAATCAAATTCCTCACCCTCACCCCCTGGCTCTCGACGAAATACCTCCTCGTCACACCCATCTGGTCAGCCATAGCGAGCTGATGATACGCCAAATCCCCGCCGCCGACCATGACCATGGCGATGGGGTTTCGGCGTAGCACGCCGCTGGGCGTCCGCTGTGCTTCCTCCAGCAAGGGACGGACGATGTGTCCCCGCCCGCCGGCGACTTCAGTATACCCCCTGTAATCCGGGCCGACTTCCTCCTCGTCGGAGACAATGACCACGAGCTGCAGCGAGCGGAAGTCCGGCACGAAGGCGGGGATGTTGGCCAGCTTCTCGGCGAAGGAACAGCCGCCGCGCCGGATGACGATGATCTGGTGGTCGCGGGGTGCTTCGTCGGTCAGCGGACCGGGGCCGCAGGCGTCGCCGGCTGCGTAGACTGTTGTCCAGGGGAAGACGCTTGCTGGTGCGGGACCGAACTCGGGGACGTGGAGGCCTGCTGGGACGTCGATGGCGGGTAAGGGTGCGGCACCGGGACCGGTGGGCATGACTGCTGTCTGGTTGATGACGAGGTTGTATGGTAGTTCGAGCGGTAGGGCAGTCTCGCCTGGTCCCGGGGTTGCGGCGGGTGGAAGCTGTAGGTCGAGGGAAGAGATGACTTGTTTAAGGATGGACTTGACGAGTGAACCGAGTTCATTGACCCGGGAGGTTGTGGAGTGTTTGACGGTCTCGTTGAGGGACTTGATCGCTAGAGCGGCGACTGATTCGCTGTCGGAGACGTAGTCTGAGTCGTAGTCGACAATAGATGCGTCTTCGGTATTGTTACTGTCTTTGGACACGTCGATGCGATGGAGATGCTGCAGCTTGACGATGACGGGATCCCGTACGAGCTTGAACCTCTGATCCGCAACATCGGCCATAATCGACCGGTCCATCACGACGAACTCGTCACGGCCTAGTGGTACGCCATTCACCTTGGTCAGGCGCCACGAGGGATCTTCGCCTTCCTCGAACCCGAAGGTCATCTTAAGGCCGGAAAGGCTGGTGACGCGGATCCGGTCTGGGCTGAGCCGCTCGAGGTGCTGAGATCCAAGCATGAAGTTGAAGGCACTGCCATCAGCGGTTTGCCCTCCGGTGTTAGCGAACTCGAGCGTCATTTCGACGGGGCTGTAGACCTTGGCGCAGATGCCGTCGGGCGGTAGTAGTTCCGGGGGAAGCGTCCAGGGAAACAGAGTGTGGTTAGACTGAGAAAGGAGCTGGCTTGCGGGTGGGGCGTTAATAGTAGCTTTGACGTGGTAATTGGGAGTCATGTGCAAGTCCAGAAGTCGGGCAGCATGGTATATGTCGGGTCGAGCAGCGGTGGCTGAGTATGTGAGAGGATGAGGTTTGGGAGGGAGCGGACACGTGGTGGTAAACCCCTCCTCTTCATCGTCGTCGTAAGTGGCAAGTTCCTTACTCTGCGTTTCTGTTGAGAAGCGCGTCTTGACTGGCTTCTTGGGAGTGTCTAGTTTCCGGGGAATGATGAGTGGATGGCCCTCTGTCGTAAAGACATAAGCAGCATCCAGGGAGTTCAGCGGGTGCTCGTCATCGAACAGCAAGTACATGTACTTGGCAGTCTCGCCGAGGAAGAAGCTTTCCATCCTGTCCGACTTCTCGCCATCGACGACGTTCTGGAGTCCTGCCCAGCCACAGGGTGTCCAGCAACGTCTCGTAATGTCACGGAGGACCATCTCTCCAACGTAGAGATACCACGGGTCTTTGGTGGCGCGATAAATATGGTACGTCGACTCGATGAACTCTGGCCGGAGCGGCCACCACCCGAGTCCACCCTCGACACCCTTGTCTCGCAAAGACCACCTCTCAGGCAGTGCTGCGTATTTCGTCCAGATAGCAGTGTATAGGAGGTTGGTCTCGATCGCCTCCTCGACCTCGCCGGCAATGGTAAGAAGACCAGCATAGAATGCTCCCAAACTGTCAACCCAGTTTGAGGCAAAGGAACCAGTCCAGAGGTTGACGTTGATGTAGTGAGGATGGTCCTTCGTGGTATACAGGTGGCGTTTGACCGCCGCATGAGCATGATGCCACGCCTGAAGGAAGGTCTCGGGCGAGTTCTCGGCGTCACTAAGCGGCGGAAACAGACTGTTTGGGTCTAGCCAGTGCTCTCCTATATCTGTTCTGTACAATGTACGGTTCGGCAGATCATGGCCGGACAACAAGATGTGAGTCTTGAGAGCATACTCGAAGAAGCTGTCGGCACCGGCGCCTATCACGGAGTACGATCCGATCCACTGGCCGTGCTCGGCGTCAACCCCAGCGCCGATGAGGCCGATCTGGCTCTTCCGAGACCAGACGGCCCAGAACGCTCGCTTGGCAAGCTGCTCGAACCTAGCGTCACCCGTCAACCGGCTTAGCACCGTGAACTCGAGCACTAGGGACCCAGCACCGGCACTGCAGGTCTCCGTGATCTCAGGGGCTCCATCAGACTCGACAAAGGAGTCATACACTTCATGCAGGGGCGAGTTTGCATAGAAGGGTATGCCGGATCTGAGGTTGACTCTAGGGTACGGCATCCCCGTAGCGGTGTAGAAGGCTGGCAAGAGTCTCTGCGCCAAATCGAGGGCCAAACGAAGCAATTGCCCATCGTACCTGAGACCATTCGGCCAGAAAATGGGCCGATCTTCGAGAGAACCGCCACTTCCCTTTGGCGGACTGTAGCCTGTGATCGGCAACTCGCCGATGGCAAACAGATGGGCACTCAGGAGTCCCCCAACACCCCGGATGACGGTTTCAAAGACCTGCACCTTGCTGTCCACATCGAACCCCCTGCCGCGCAGGCCTTGCCCTGAAGGCCCAGGGCGACCGTCGCCATATTGTTCTACCAATGCGGCCACACCGTCCTGGAAATCTCGCAATGCTTTGGGGCCAGTGCCGCGGGTATCAGGGGGTGCAGATGCAAGGATGGCGAGTGTGGACAAGCTGTCAATAAGGGTGAGGGAGTAATTGCCCAGGACGTCGTTGAGCGCCACGTTGTTGGGGTTCTGCGCATCTCGACTTAACGGGGTACATGATACTGGTCGCAACTACAAAGAAACGTTAGTATGCCACTGCAAGGACGGTGTGGTGGAGAATAGCTTTGCGAGGCCCCTTGTGCAACGTACCTCGTCCTCAGGAAAGGCAATGTTCATGTAGTTGTCATAACCGTGATAGAACATCTCGACAGTCTCCTGGCGAAGTAGCGCGATGCGGTCGGGCCGCATGGCCAGCACGTTTGCAGGCCATGACAACAATAGCACCAGAGCCAGGGGAAGCCATGCGTTGATTTTGAGCCATGCGCGGCGGTGAGAGACGATGTGCGCCTCCTGCTCGTGTTCGAAGCTCGCGATGCGCCTGGAGCCGTGGTGGTGACCAACCGATGAGCACCGGCCCATGGCTAGGGGCATCCATGGATCACCGGATCCTACTAAAAATGGAATGCTGCATGTGTCGCATGTAGTCGAGAAGGGTGGTGATGCTTTATCCCAGCTGATGTTTGCAGGTAGATGGCAGATGTGCAGCTGCCTTAGTGTTCAGATTCACTTCACCGAAGTTGCGATGTTGTCATCTTTCGGATGACAATTGGACATTTCCTGATTACGGTGGGGGGGTATGTCCAACCAAATCGAGGTTAGCGCCGAGCTTAATTCTCTCCAATTCCAACCTAGTCCCCATCAGATGTCTCAGCGCTCGCGTGGGGCATTGGTGTGGCTCCCGGTCGTGAGCCCTCCCTCAAAGTGCTGACTGACATTGGATTCACGCATCTGCTCCGATAAGGCTGGAGGCAAGGAATGGTTCAACGTCGACGGGAAGGCTATTTTTACTTCATGACATGCTTCTCGTCTCGATCCGTACCTACATCCACAGATGATGGCGTCGCCTCAGCCTCCACAAATCGACTACGCCATGTTGCCATCAAATGCCAACGGCCATTTGTTTGAACATCTGAAACAAGGGTTCGATCCAGCTCAATGACGCGTTTTTTCGACGTTCAGTTTGTCTGACGCTCTCGACGACGACATGTTCTGCCGACATGTCTTCCTGGTCTCTCTAGCAAGCCGTCAGAAAGGAGCTCAATGCTACACTTGTTGCAAGCGATCTCCACGGCGCAGCAAGTCCTGTTGAGAGACTGAGCGGCCCTTTTCCGCCTTAACAGCCCTACCGGCTCTCGCACCTGAAACCGCGTGGACGCTGGCCATGGCCATGGGTGAAGGCATGATAGCGGCGCAAAAAGGTAGCATCGAAATCCTTCAAGCACGAGCGCTAGACTCGATTTTGTGTGCAACTCGCGAGGGAAAACGGCCGGGATATTCGGAACTTCTTTCTTGTTAAAAAGCCTCATGCAAAAGGCGTTGAAGGATTCATCCATGTCGTCGCGGCCATGAATCCGATCATGAAAGTCGGCAGACCGCTGATGACCTGTTCGACCACGGCGCAGTGGACGACCAGGTACGAACTTTGTTCTTCCGAGATTGGATTGGC